ATGATCAAAGTCTTACTAATGTAAACTAATTGGAAGCACTGGAGGGGCAAGGTTTTGATTATAGAAAGAAAAGAATTTAATTAATTTTAATTACATATATTAAATAAAACTTTATAAGGCTAATAATGATGACCTCATAGGCATCTTATAATAAGTTATGAGTAACAGTATTTAGTATATTAAAGCATATRCTTGGACTATGGTGGATTTTTCTTTTACTGCAGTAGGTGGGTGTTTAAAAGTGTTTTATGTTTTTTCTTTTGCATATGCATACATTTGCTTTACAATACAATCTGAAGGTGAGGATACATTTGGATCTACCATTGTTCATTACTGGGAATGCTTTGTTTTGTTTATAGATATTTGGTGAAGAGTATGTGCTTCATTTGTTAAAGTTTTTTTTTTAATTTTTTGGCTTATGTTGATTGACCAAAAATAACCATGAAGGGCAATGCTTTTTCTTTTTTCATATGAAAAAATTTCTAGAAATCCTCATGCTACTATTTTCATTGATAATATTTAGAATATGAATTCCATGCCTACAAGAGTTTCATAGGGGCTTTCACAGCTCCACTCATTTCCCCTTCTGGAGGTTCTCAGCAAGGCAGACACAATGACCAGGCCAGCAGTGAYGGCAGCTCAGTCTTCTCATTGGCCTTGGAAGAGCAGGATCCGGAATCAAAAGACCTGAGTTATATTCCAGGCTCCACGACTGGTTAATTATTTACATGTTACTTGGCACATTTTTTAAAAATAGTTTTCCATGTCAGTTGTCTTAGATTTAAGTGGTTTAAGACATTGAACCCCTTAAATAATAATATATCTCAAATATTTTTTAAAATGTAAACTGAAAACATAGACCTCCTTTTTATAATACTCAATTTTGAACTAAACATTTTCATGAATATTTTTATCAACTCACAAAAGTTGAGCATAGAGAGCACAGGGGAGGGGGCTGACCTCAGGGTCTTCATGCTGTTCTGAAGTAGTGTGTGAGGAATATGGAGCATTAGGACACACATGGATGAATAGATGAATTCTGACCTGTTTTTGTTTAACATGATTGTATTAGTCCGGGTTCTCCAGAAGAACAAAACCAATGGGAGATCTATCTATCTATCTATCTATCTATCTATCTATCTATCTATCTATCTATCTATCTAGATATACATAAATATCTATCTATCTATCTCTATATATAGAGATAGATATATATAATTATAAGAAGGGTATTTATTAGATTGGCCTATACAACTAGAAGCTGGATAGTCTACAATGGCTGTATGTAGGCTGGAGAGCTGGAGGAACCAGTAGCTGCTCAGTCCCAGAAACTGGAGCCTCAGAACAAGAGGGAACAACAAGGCTCCCCCAGTCCAGGAATGAAGGCCTGGAAACTCTCTGGAGAGTCACTGGTCAGAGTCTGCTTTGAAAAAGGCAAAGAGCTGGAGTCTGATGTCCTTGGGCAATTCCAGTAGCAATCACAAACCTGTTCAAGAAGAATTGAGCTTGTGTCTGCTTCTGCTTCCTTGTTCTTCCAATTTTTGTTCCATCTAAGCCTCTAGCCTATTGGACTGTGCTACCCACACTTAGGGTGGGTCTCCACTTCAGTTTGCTGTCCCCCATGCCAATCATTTCTAGAAAACCCTCATTGAGACACTCAGAAGACTCTTAGGCATCTCTCAATCTAATCAAGTTGACAATTCATATTAACATTACCACGATAATTCAAATTGTTAACAAATAATTTTCATATCATTTGAATATAACCTAAATGCATATAACTTCAATTATTATCCACCAGCACTTCTCTCTTTTGTTGAGATTCTRTTGGATATTCAAGAATGAATAAAGAAAACTCTTTTTCTGTCCTGCTTGTGGTTATGACTAGTATTTGCATGATATGGAAGAGTGGGTGGCTGTATATAAGGTAGAAATTCCTTGAAATGTCTGGCCTGGCTTCTCGCTACATTTTCTCTTCCTCCTATCTATACTTATTAGCTTGGTTATGCCCTGGATTCTGGGCCAAAGAGTCTCAATTTTGGCCTAATGTAAGGCTTTCTGGGTAGCAGCTTAGTAACCTAACTATGTCAGTTAGCAGTCTGCTTTCCTATTCTGGGTCCAGCACAAATTTAGTCACTAAAATCTTGCCTAATCTCATCAGAACTCAGTCTGTATTTCCTGCCCTTTTCTTGTGTCCTTCTGAAGCTATACTCCTGGCTTTCACTTGCCTGAACTCCTGAAGAGTTATTTCTTCCAATGTTCACCCCCTGCATCTGGATCCTGGCACCCTCTGCCACAATCGTCTGGGGTGTATTCCTTTAGAGTAACACTGAACTTTTCCACTGGCCCATCACCCAACTCCTGAGCTCTTCACTTGCAGACTGCACAACACTGAATGTCTCTACATTTACCAACCAGAATCTATTGGGACCCTGCTTATTGCTCATTCCAGATTCCCCTGACATACCCTTGCCTCTCCACAACTCTGTCAACTGCTCCTGGGATTTAAGGAGGTGACCTGCTTGTCCAACAGGTCTTTCTAATGTCTGGGGCCTGAGCCAGATTCTAATGGCCCAGTGTAGGACCTCTTTATAAGTTTTCTTCCTTATACAAAATTCCCTTCAAAGAAGATTTTTCTCTTAAGACTGTTACATGTCTCATGTGGTCAAAAGACTTCAATGCCCTTAGTTATTTGCTGTATGTACAAATAAACAACAGAGATGACCAAGAATCTTTGCAACAGAAATTAGGAAATCTCAGTGGGGAGGGAAAGAGAAGGTCCTGATGAATAAGAGGGATTAAATTATGTTATATACACGTATGAATATGGCATAATGAATCTCATTATTCTGAATAATTATTATGCACCAATAAAATAAATTAATCCAAAAAGAAAACTCAATGTGCATGTATACTCTCTCTCCGAACCAAACCAAACCAAACTAAACCAACCCAATCCAAAACTAACTCTAAAGGATACAAAAAAGACAGCTTACTTTAAATAATAGAACATTTTATCAAAGACTTAGTGATTCTAGAAGGGCACAGTTTGCAATGTCTAATAAATATTAGCCATTGACTTTGGTATGCTGGGAGACAGAGAAAACTAATTAATAATACTGTAGCTATTAAGTAAATCAGCACTCCACTGCCCTGAGAAAACAGACCGAAGCATGATTTTGATGGCTCCTAGAATTACCAAATGATGAAAGTAAACTTTAACACAGAAATTATGGTCTGCTCACTTGAAGTCATACTTTGGTGATAAATGAATTGCTTTTTGTCATTTTTTGACATGGTAACACTTTTGGAAGTGGCTGTTTTGCAAGTAAATATAGATGGAACCATATGTAGTTTGAAAACTTGTGAAACTGTTTTGAGTGACATGTGAGTATATTTCTAATGAATAATTATTTTTTTCAAGATTGGGAGGTTTTTAAAAACTTAATAGAATTTGGAAGAAATACTCACTTTTATTTTTATCAGAGGCAAAATGATAAGAAAAATAAATTCTTATGGAAAACATACACAGAATTTAGAATAACATAGCTAATTAAATGAATAGATTAACAAGTTTTTTACTGCCCTCTGCTGTTAGTTTCTAAAAGAAATAGAGCAAAAATGACTATAAAAACTGACAAGGTTGAACAAATTGGTTGGGGAAAAAAGAATTGCCTGCCTCCCATTATACAAGTTTTCAACCACTAATTGTGAGGCTTACTTCATGCTTAGGAGCAATGAATTGTAAAACTAAGAAACTCACACTAGGAAAGTGCAGATTAGCAGACATAGGGTGAAAGGTATAAAGTTTGTGATTCATGATATACAGAGAATAGGGAAATACCATCATTTCAATTTTTAGCCAGACTTATTTTTTCAAAGTACATTCTTTTGAATTTGCTTTTTTTATACATACATAATTTAGGTAAGGCATTCATCATTAATAAAAGCAACACTTGCAAACTAAATGAATGAATGTTTATTTGCATGCCATAATCCTGACTTGAAATGCTGCTTGCATTTTGACATGTGAAAATCAGAAATGAGAAATAACAAGATAACAGGTAACACTAATATAGCAGTTACTAGGTATATGGCACTCTTTTTCACATGATTTTTAATTCAACAATCATAAAATAGAATGAGGTCATAACTATTGGAATGGCCTCTTTGCAGATGAAGAAACTGAGTCACAGAGAACTAAAGCAACTTGACTAAAGTGACTTTGCTAGTATAAGTAGTCATAATCAGAAGCCTTGTCATATGACTCCAGGGCCCTGCTCTTTAACATTTTGCACAGGAGAAGGTATAAACTCTGCAATTAAAGAGGTAGGATTTATATAAATTGCAATGGGTGTGGTGGTGTGAGATGAAAGTGACCAGGGTACACCCATGTCATTCTACCTTTTGCTACACCCATGCTTCAGTAGCCAGAGCCTGTGCATGAAGAACTGCCCCGTGGTGCTCCAGTGCCTATCTTTTCCAAGTATGTGCTGACTTCCTCCAGGCCTTGGCCTGCATTATCTCTTTGGAGCTCATCTCATGGTTGACCTCTGCACACTTTTGCCTTTTATCTCTGTACCTCCGGTTGACTGCTAACTTTAGCTACACTTTTGCTCATCTTCAGTGACTCATTTTCAAATATACACACTCTTCATGACACTTGGGATAAGTCAGTTTCACACTAAAATTTTCCCTGGCTGCTACTAATTCCAGAATCCGATTGAGCAACCTGCTTGTGTTCCTTTTATCATGTATGAGTCCTTTACCATTTCCCTGAGTCAAGGGCCCAGATGGTCTGTGACAACAGAAATCTCCTGCCAGGGGCACCTAGTCCTATCAGTATCTGCAATTTGGGACTCTTTGCCTTGCAGATACTTAATAAAACTCTACCTCTGTGACCCAAGGGCTAACCACTCAGGAAGTCTTTCCTCCTCCCACATTAAAGGAAACCCCAACATCAATAAAACCATTAGATTTTCATCATAAAAACTTCTTACCTGACTCGAGGAGTTGGGTTTCCAGTGACTCTGCATTCCAAATAAACTCTACTTCCTTCTGCCACTTCTTGGCTCCTCAGCTTTTGGATGAACCGGGGCACAGTGGGGAAGAGGAGTGCCTTTGGGGGCTGTGGGTGAGAGATGGTGCTGGACGGCAGGTCCAGGTCCTGGTCTGCCTGGTGGCCGTGGCTGGCCTCTGGGAACTTGACCACCTCCTGTTGGTCTTCGGTGGGGCTCTGGCTGGCTGAGGCGCTCATCAGCGCMGATGGCTGATTTTTAGGAGACAGGTACCCACTGTCTGGCGAGGAGGACTCCCCGTTGGGGCTTCTGTTCTTTGGCTTTGCCGCTTCTCTGAATATGGATGTCAGCTCTTCTATGAAGTTAGCCGCCTTGTCGCACAGCTGRCTCTGGGGCCCAGCCTTACTTTGATGTGCGGGTTTGGGCTTTGCATTTGTGCTGGGGGTCTTCGCACCTCGCTTCTCGGCCTTTCTGAGGCTCCGGATATAGCTGGGGCGGGCAAGCAGGGGTGACATGGTGGGCTTCCTCCTGCAAGCAGGTGAGGTGACAGTCTCAGTTGGTTCTTCTGCCAGGGGCTGGACGGGTGTTGATCTGTTCTCCTGGGCTTTTCCCGAGGAGATCTGCTCCCCCGATTTGGTCTCCTTGTGGGGAGGATTTTCACAGAGGCTTACAGGAGAGGTGTTGAAAATTCTCGAGATCTCCTTTTCTGAGTCGAAATCTTCTGTCTCAGAGTCGGCTATGGCTCTCCGGGCCAGGTCAAGGCTCTTGTTAATCTCTTCCTGGCTGAGAAAAGCAGACAGYCCCGGGGAGAAGTCAGCATTCTTGCTTTCTTCCTGCATGTCTGATAAGGAATCATAGAAAGAGTCGAGGGAGGAAGTCTCTGACATATTGGAGCAGCCTTCATACACCCTTTGTGTCCAAGAGGGAGGCCAGAGGCACAGGGAACCTGTTTTCTTCCTGTGTTCTGAAAGACAACAGGATTATCCTTAGTACGAAGTGTTCAGTACTGGTTAGTACTTGTTTTTCTATTTATTTTTTCCCATAATGCTACTAATCTACAGATTGAAACGACAAAGTGAACGGATATATCAGCTTTCTCAATTCCATGAGTTGGAAGGAAGATCACGCATACCCGTATTTATAATTTATGATTTTAATTTAACATATGCTCTATGACTGAGTATCAAGTGTCTCACTGACTCTATTGAATAATCCAAGAGAATGATACCTGCCATGGATCTATCCGCATGGCAGGGCATTCTGTATTTCTCATAGAGCCCCCTTCACACCYGCCTACCCCGTTAAAGCTCTCATATCATTAATGTTATGCAAGGTTGATGTTATGCATGTTATGCATGTTGATATTTTTAGTAAGACTCCACATCTGACTCTGAAACACAAAATACATTCTAATGATTCCAATTTTCATTTGCTTTTGGATTTCAGTGAAATATTTCATACTTTATGTCCCATTCTTTCCTCCTGTCTGTCCAGTCATGCTCTTTCCTAGTCACTCATTTATCATGACTCCAGGAGACATTAATAATCACTTAGGAAGTTTCAGGTGCTGGAGGGACAGCTTTGTTCCGCACCAGGGGCTTGTAAACTTTCTCTTAAGGCCAGACAGTAAGTATATTTTTTTTGCTTTATGGCTATCCAGTCTCTGTTATAATTACTCCACTTGCTATGGTGKCATGAAATCAGCAATGACTATGTGCCAATGAAACTTTCTTTATGGACACTGATATTTGAATTTTATATTATTCTTAAAAGTAAAAAAGAATAGACTTCTTTTTGATTTATTTTACAACAATTTGCAAAATGCAAAAGACATTCTTGGTTTTCAGGCTGTACAAAAACAGGCAGTAGAATGGTTTTTACCCAGGGGTTGAGATTTGCTGTCTCTTYGTCTAGAATGATGACATAGTCCTTATGTTCAAGGAGTTAAAAGTTATGTGGGGTGGTAATGTGAGATGCGTAGAACATTGAATAAATTATATAGAATAGTCTAAAGTATAATAGGGGCCTCTTTGATAGGGCCTTCCCCTAAAGTGGAAGGATCCCAGAGCCATGAGAGCCTAATCTAATTTTGAAGGACMTGTGAAAGAACTATGTGCTTTGCATAGAATATTGATATGGGAATATCATCAGAACTAAATAAAAGTTATTTAATTACCTGTAAAATAATTGGGCATCAATTTAAATTCTACTGTTATTTTGAATTAAATATTGTGAGGCAGTGACTTTCTTGTTAGTGTAAGTGCTGTTTTATATATATATTGTTCATAGGCTAATGGGGAGAAAGATCTAGAAAATCTCAAATGATCTTCCCCTCATGACTGAGTCCAGAAGTCACTAAAGGGAACTCTGAGGACATGAGGAGCTTGACTTTATAAGGTGTGTCAGGCATTGTGAGTGAACCCAGTAGGATATTCCCCAGAAGTTGTGTCTTAAGAGGGCTCTAACTTGAGCTGCTTGTTTAGAAGTGGCTTCTCATGTAGAAGTCTCTGATCTCAAAGGATACTCTRCAGGAGTTGAGGAGGGTTCCAGAAATCTGTCTCCAGAATTYACCCACCACATAGGACACTGTGACTCACAGACTGTTAATTCAACAGAAGTCATTTGATAAAACACCCTAAAGCTCAGTATTAACCTACTGTATCTTCTTTAGTTGAGTTTTGGACTGTGGTCTAGATGCCTTTCTGAATTCCAGATTCTCCACATGCTAGTCCTACTCTACCCACCAAACTGTATGTCCCATAGTTCTTCCAGAAAATTCTATAAATCCATTGGAATGATCTTGTCCCTCTCATCCCCCTTTATTAACTCAAACATTACTCTTATTCTTTGTCTTGCCTGTGCTCCAGGATGGAACCAYTCTAACTGCTCTTTGATTATTCAAATATAGTTCATTTTTGGAGAAAGGTTGTATTCATTACATCTTGAATACTTGAATATGTTTTGTTCATGAGAAACAGGCAGTTAAAGTATAATTTTGAAAAGGAAAATYATGAAAAACATAAACAAGTACGTAAACAAGTATAAAATAAATAAGCATTCAAGATTTTACTTAATAACTAATGATGAAACCAGTTAAGAAGCTACAACCATTTCAAAGAAGGCTCTGAAGAACAGACATAAAAGTAGGCAACGAGGAATRGATTTGCTAGTAATTTTGTAACTGGTTAATATCTACCAAGCAATAAAATGTAATGTTTAGAATCATTTATACTAGGAAAAAAATAATTTGTATACCTGTGAACACGTATGATTTGTACCGCTATTGGATATCTACAATTTATAAAGTTGTCAAATTGCCTAGTTAAGAACAATGAAAGGCACAGACCCTACAGAGTCAGATGACCCTGGAAGATCAACCACAGCCCATCTAGTATTTCAAGGACAATTCAGTATTATTTTGTCTATTTTGAAGTCATTTATAGACTGGGTCCTGAGAAGGACGTTTGGGCTTTCAATACAGAGTTCCTAAGCTCAGTGAGCAGACATGGTGGGTAACACTAGTAGAAGCCAAGGATCAGAATCAGTGCTTATAACACSTGAGGAGAAGCAGGATTTGGCAACATGAACCCCCAAGAGACATGAAAACGGGAAGGGAGAGACCCTTGGGCTGAATGCATGTTTGTATACTGAAGGCAAAGCCAACTGTATTTTCATTTCTTGCAAAATTTATTGTTTGGAAGAGAAGTCACTGTTCTTTTTTGTTTGTTTTGGCCTGAGAAAATTTCAGTTTTTTGTAYTGAGCTCAGTGATGAAAGAGATTGGCTAACGTTTTGTGTCCACCACGCCTAAAGTTAAGCTGAGCTGAAAATTCAAGTGGACCATTTGAACAAAATCATTGATTCTTTAAATGACTAACTGGCAACATCAACTGAGATAGATGTAGGCTATATAGAAAAATTACCCATTTAAAATGTATTGTGAATATATGTTATATGCCCAGTAATTTGCTAGGGATGGGGATAGAAACTCTGAAAAGGACCAAGTTTTTTCCCTCATGGAACTTAGCCTATAAGGGATACAATTAAGTCATACATGCATGTGATTCAATGTGACAAATGCTGTGATGAGAGAGAAAGGATGTGCTGTGAGAGGCCCTGGAAGAGACAGAAGGTTGAGCATCAGGCAGAGTTTTATGGGGGAAATAAGTCTGACAGAATGATACTTGGCAATTGACAGAATGCAGAGATGATACAGAGACAGGATTATAGGTTTCTGACTTAACAAGAAGATGAACTGTGCTATTATTGCCTCACATGCTGAAAAAGGAAGAACAGGTTTTAAGGAGAAAAAAAAAAGCTTAATTTTGAGTTGCGCCTTTTGCATTTGAGGGAGCTCTGGTGTTGATTTCCAGGAGGCAATGTGAGAGACTGCTCCAGAGTACAGGAGACGGAGAGCAGAGCTGGGCTGGGAATYACTGGCCTGTGGGTGGCTTCTTAAACCACAGGGACGGATGAGGCTGTCCAGGGAGAAACAGGGAGTAAGGAAAAGAATCGTCCAGAGCTCTGGAGGAAAACCAGGAGAGTGGGTGTCATGGAAATTGGCAAAGAAAATGTCTCMTGGAGGAGGGAGTGTCCCTTTGACTCCAGCAACTGGGAACACTTAGCACCACCGGCAACAGCAGTTTTGGTGTGTGCCTCATAGATATAAAGCAGACTGCTGTGAAAAGATAGTGTAGACTGCAAGTCCAGTTGACTGTGGTGAGGTCTGAAGAAAGGAGAGACATAAGGGAGTCCTAGAGCAAAAGGGTGGAATCTAGCCAAGTTTTTTACTTTTTTTTTCAGGATGGGGGCACAGGAAGGTGCCTAGTGCTGATGGAATTAAAGAGATAAAAGCTGAAAATACAAGTAAGAAAGTGGGGAGGTAAGCGTCCCACTGGGGTTCAATCCCTGGTACAAAAAAAGAAAAATCAGGGACGACTTGTAGTCCAACTCCCACCCCAGACCTGGGCTAGGGTTGGCTGTTCTTCCATTGTCAAAGAAGAGAAGTAATTAAGAGTGTGTGAGTGTGTGTGTGTGTGTGTGTGTGTGTGTGTGTGTGTGTGTGAGAGAGAGAGAGAGAGAGAGAGGGAATGATGTCCAGATAAATTTTATTTTTGAAAGAAGGGAGCGCTCTTGTCTTGAAACGGCTTTGCTTTTGTCAAATTTTGAGGACAGGAGACAATTGAAGTACTTATTGTAGGGAAAGGGAGAAAGCTCTCTGAGGAGGAGGTATGGGCAGAGGTGAGGACTTAGTTGAAGTTAGATGTCATGAGTATGGTGTCATTAATGTGTGTGAATGTGCAGTTCCCACCAGCGAGCTCAGCTGTCCGGGTGAAGGTGTGCAGGTAGATGATCCATGTTTTGACAGGTGGAAAGACAGAGGGGAAGTGGGTAACGGTGCTGAGAATATTGGCAGGGAGAGGCAGGCTCTGAATACTATGCTGGACTGGAATTCTTAGGTAGGAGTAGGAACCTTTCCCCAGTGGAAGCAAAGGACAGATGTGAGAACAGCTAAGTGAGAAATCCAAAGGGATGTGTTCAGATGGGGAAATATCTGAATCAACTATTTTAGAGGTAGAGCTTCCTGATTTCTGACTTCAGTTTTAAAYGGTAAAATTTATTTCTTTTTAAAATTTAAAATGTTAAATAAAACRTAAGTTTTCAACTTTGCAARTATTTCAGTGAAATTGACAGGTGCACTGAAATAGGCTGGATGTCATCATCTTGAGCTTATAGTAATTATTATATTAATTAATTACATTAATAAAATAATTATATTCTTATTAGAATTATAAAATTACATAGTAAAAAATTATATTACATACTACATTTAATTTTTTTTTGTTTTTCTTCAACTATTTTATTGATAGATTCCCACCATGAGCACAGATGTGAAAGGATTTGACAAGTAGCTTGACCACAAAGAGGTCACGGATCTTGTTCTGCTATCTAGATGAATGCGTCC